CTGGCAGCCAGAGCCTAGCAGCTAAGCAATAAGCAAGGGTGCATGTCGGCTGTATACTCACAGCGCATCAATGCAAACATCTTTTAAGCGCCAGCGCGCCGAGCTGAACAAAAAAGCCATGCTTAGTGGCTGTGCATCTTGCCTATCTTATACCCGCTCCATCTTCCTTCCTTGTGTGAATGACCATCTCCATCCTCTGCACCATGCAATCCATCTCCTTGGAATCTCAAGAGCTCTTGGCCAAGTTCAACAGTCGGCCTGAGTCAACCCACCCCTGAATGCAAGTCACGTGCACGCATCCATCGTCATCTGACGTCTGCCCCACCAGGCCCGCCTCTCCGAATGGCCAATGCGGCAGCTCTTATCGATAACCCCGCCGCGTTACTCACCACTGACTGGGCTGAGTCCCTGTCGGTTCTGGCAGGTCGCCTGGCGCTCGGCGCCGTCCCCTGATATGACGCTGTGTCCTCTGGTCTAAAAGGTTGTCGATGACTCGAAGTCTTGTCCTCGCCTCCCGCCGTTCTTCACCTCCCCCCCCCCTTCCAGATTGTCCGCTTCAATGGTCAGCGTTCGTACGGCTTCGTTTCACTCGACATATATGCCTTGCCGCACCGCGTCCGCAAACTCCTTATTACGAAGATACCACTGCATGTTAGACCGATTACCTCGATTACCAGCATAGAAAGCCGCCATCCACTGCGCCATGGCGACCAAGAATATCAACAAGGCAATAGCCCACGAGAAGCGCATAGGGGAGGCTGCCCTCAGCGACTTTGCCGAGTACGTCGAGCAGCAGCAGTCGCTGCGCTACCCGAGCACCAAACCCGCTGCCGACGGCGCTGCGAAGCCCATCGCGGGCTCGCATGACGAACACCAGCATGCTGAGCTTGACGAGCTCTTCGACAACCTGGACCTCGGCGATGCGACAGGCCCGAGTGTCAGGCTCAAGGACATGCTTCTCGGAGCCGACGAAGAGACGTTGAAGCAGCTCAGCAAGAACTTGGCTGAGAGGATAGAGGAGGGGCATGGCGAGACTGTGTTCGACCTCGGCTTTGAGAACAATGGCGACTCGTTGGGTCTTGACCTCGATCAGTGGCATACCGCGTACAAGAGGTTAGACGAAGCAGCTCAGCTGGTCCATGCCAACTGCCAGTTGCTGCTCACGAAGAATGTGGGTGGAGAAGTGGAAGCTCCGAGCGCCAAGTCGAGCAAAGACAAGGACTGCTCCGGCAAGGTCATGATTCGGCAGAAGCCAAACACGGTGGAGGACGTCATCGAGACCAGGATAGCAGTGGTGGGCAACGGTAAGACAATTACCTGCCCACTTGGTGATCTTGCTAACAAGACGGTGTAGTTGACGCTGGAAAGAGCTCGCTGCTTGGCGTTCTTGTAAAGGGTGACCTTGACGACGGGCGGGGGAAAGCTCGAGTCAACCTTTTCCGCCACAAGCACGAAATCGAGTCCGGGAGGACCAGTTCCGTCGGCATGGAGATTTTGGGCTTTGACACCGCCGGTCAGGTCGTTGTCTCTGATGTGCCTGGACGTAGGTGATTCTCGTCGCAAGCTATTAGATACTGCCAGCTAACGAATACAGGTAAACTCTCGTGGGAGGAGATTGGCAAGCGCAGCTCCAAGGTCATCACCTTCACTGACTTGGCAGGCCACGAGAAGTATCTGCGCACCACGGTCTTCGGTCTACTGTCCAGCAGCCCCAATTACTGCCTGCTCATGGTCGCGGCGAACAACGGTCTCATTGGTATGAGCAAGGAGCACCTTGGCATTGCGCTAGCCCTCAATGTGCCCGTAATGGTTGTCATCACCAAGGTCGACATCTGTCCGCCCCAGATTCTCGAGCAGACCATCAGTCAGATTACCAAAATCTTGAAGAGTCCAGGCGCCAAGAAGATTCCCATCTTCATCAAGGATCGAGAAGAATGCATCAACACAGCCACGCAGTTCATCAGCCAGAGAATCTGCCCCGTATTCCAGGTGTCGAACGTCACAGGCGCTAACCTCGATCTTGTGAGGACGTTCTTGAATATCCTTCCCCACCACGGCCGATATGACTCGGAGGCGCCCTTTGAATTCCACATCAACGACACCTTCTCTGTCCCCTTTGTCGGTACGGTTGTGTCCGGCATCGTCAAGTCTGGCGTGATCCACGCCGGAGACAACATTCTTATCGGCCCCGACTCTCTCGGCCAGTTCATGACGACCAGCATCCGTTCGATTGAGAGGAAGCGCTTGGCGTTCCCGCGGCATCTGCTGGCCAGTCTGCGTCCTTCGCGCTGAAGAAGATTCGCCGCAAGATGTCCGCAAGGCATGGTCGTGCTGCCGAAACTCGAGGGACAGCCTAACCCCAAGGTGCATAAGGAGTTCATCGCTGAGGGTTCGTGCCACTCCACCTTCCCCCTTTTTGATGTCTGCCACTAACGAGAAGAGCAGTGCTGATCCTATCCCACGCAACGACCATTCGCACGCGGTATCAGGCCATGCTTCATGTCGGGCCCGTCTCGCAGACGTGCGCCATCATCGACGTTGATCGTCCGTACATCCGAACCGGTGACCGCGCCACCGTGGCCTTCCGCTTCATGCAACGCCCCGAGTACCTCGCCCCAGGGGACCGCCTACTCTTCCGTGAGGGCCGCACAAAGGGACTTGGCATCGTCAAGGCCGTTGGCTACGATCCCAAGAAGCCGCTCTCGCCCCATGGGCCCGACGACGGACCAGCGCCAGACGAAGGCAACGGACAGGCGGGCCAGCCGGCCGTTGGGCAAGAGGTCCATGTAGGAGCGTGACCACTTTGAGAAACAGTCTTCGTGAGGAAGTCTTTATTTTTGGGGGCGTTAGCGTTGCTTTACTTTGTTCGATACGGGCTGCACTGCATTTTTGACTCCTTAGTTCGGCGCACTCTGTTCTGCTTTCAAGACGTCCATATATTCAAATGATTTGCCGCTGATATCTCGTCTTTTTTTTTTTCATCAAATCAGCTGGTCACCTGAACCTTGACATCATTCATCTTATACCACGCATACCTTGCATCTTGCCTCTTGCATTGCAGTGAGTGTTGATACCGTCTTGGAAGCAGCAAGAACGGAACGCACCGTGATTCTCGCCTACGTGAAGTGCCTGCGATACATCATCATCTTGGGCATCAAATAGCCTCACACTCAACATCTATGCCGAAGCGCCGGCCAACCCCTTTCCCCCACCAGTCCAATCCAAAACTTCTGCCCCGAAAGAGGCTCTCCAGGCCCTTGTCATCCTCCCACTCTGACCCCTCCACCATTGTCACCATATCACTACCAGCCAGCAACGTGGCGACACCCGCGATAGAGCAGGGGTCATGCGGCAGCACCGTCCGTACATCCATCAACAGGCGCGATGCAATGATACATACGACCATGAGTCCCAGCATGACCTGCAGCGCAATCTTTGGTCCGTTGTTCTGCTGCAGCCTGCGCCTCGCACTCGAGGTCAGCCTCCCTTCGTACGCAGGCAAGAGCTCCGCATCCCGTCGCATGTTGGCCGAGATGGCCTGGGCCATGTACGTCTTGTACAGCCTTGTGGCCGCTTTGCGCAGGTTGTCCACGTTTGCTTCCCCGGCTAACGTCTCGATCGGCTGCGCTCCGCGTCCGGAAAGGAGAGCGCGACTGAAACCATCCAGGCTCGCGACGCTGTCCAATCCTGTCGTATTGGCCGTCAGCGAGTTTGCGATTGAGAGCAAGAGACGGTTGATGGGATACGCGAAGGACGTGGTGTTCGTGGTCGGGTCTGCCAGGACTATCCTTGTTGATTCGTCAAGAATGGGAGGGACGAGTGTGTCAATGGTCATAGAAGGTGCGCTGAATGTGTCGTTCGCCACGACTTGATCCACTCTTTGGTAGCACACGAGTGTCGCAAGGTCACTCTCCACAGCGAACTGCCTTGCTTTCCCGCTACGTCCAGATCGTCCTGCCCGTATGGTTCCCAGTGTAAAAGCCATCGACGGACACCCCGAGTCCCCGAGCGTGATGCCCTCCACGCCCATGCCCGATCCCGATCCAGGGCTTGTGTCTGTTGCTCCGTCGCCCCAGGTGATAATCTTTGTGTCATCAAACCAGCCAAGGAGGGATGCTTTGCCCACGTGGGTGACAGATTCGTCATCCGGAATGACAAAGTACTGGAGCCAGTCTTTGGAAGCTGCAGTAGAGTTTGCGAGAGGCCGTGAACATTCTGCCCTCAAAGTTGTGTTTACCTTGACAAAGAGCTCTCCTGGTCTACCGGGGTATACATCAGTCATACCTGGCATCACTGTCAGGCCGTTTGTGTAACTGTACACTTGTATATGACGATCATTCGATGGTATGGTGAAGCAGTCTAGATCAGGTCTCACAGCTTGAAGCATGGCCGAAAGTGGTTGCTCATGTGACAAGTCCTGCGTAGAGGGGCTCATGATCGGATGCATGGTGTTGAAAACCAAGTCTTCGTAAGTCCACTGGGGACTTGGTAGGCCAATATATTCTATGAGCGAAGTGATTGCTGCCGCTTGATTGTCCTCAAGCGAGATATTGCCGGCCGACAGATCAAGGACGTCCGTCTGCTGCAGCATCACGGGTCGAGTGTCGTTAACTGGAATGGCACTGTCAAGGCCTGAGATTACGATCGTCAAGAAGCCGCCAACGAAGTTCGCCGCGAGAATGATGGCGACACTGAAATGTCGTGTTTTGAGTGCATCTAGAAGCGCATGTGGTGCCAGCTTCCCAACGAGCCGAAGAGTGATCGACCGCTCGGGGGTGGCGTTGCGTTGCTTGAGGATTGAGTACGGAGCAAAGGTAGCCGCCATCGACCCGAAACTTGAGTACATACCCGCAAGGCAGATTGCCACGGCAGCAGGTACATACGTTGCAAAAAGTAGCGAGTCTGACTCGTTGATATCCAAGAGGCCATCACGCTTATCTGATGATCGTTGCAAAGCTTCCAGGGCAGCAATCATGGCAAGTGACAGGGTGATAACGAGAACAAGAAACCAAGCTTTCCCAGCCAGGGGACGCCACCACGTGTCGCGATGGCCCCGCCTGTTCTCTTCGATGGATGCAAGTCCACTGTCCAAAGCTTCGACAACGAAGGCGGGCTCAGGTCCTGAATAGTAGGAACTCCGAAAGTTGAAGCTTGATAGCCTGTTGCAAATAGCAGCTTGCGACGAGGTTCCTAGACCGAGCAGAAGTTTTTCAAGTCCCGGGCTTGATGCCAGCACTGCAGCTGTTGCTGTGATGGATCCGGGTTCGCGATGGATCGCATCCAAAGGACGCAGAAACACCACTGCAAGGCTAAGGATTGTGGCCAAAGATAGGAACGCACACATAAAGGCCGTAGATAGCTCAGTGACGTGCAGGCGATCCTCCACCATAGCGACAGAACCCTTCTCAGTCGATGCAATAGCAGGATTCAAAGCCATAGTGCTAAGAAGCTGTGTACCGACACCTTTGAACACGTCTGACGCTGTCGAGATCAGGAGATCTGGGTCCATGAAATCACCGATGGTGGTTCTGTTTTGCTTGATCGTCATAAGCCGGAAGAACGACGTGACGGGGGTCGATAGAACAAAATCTATGCCGCCGGTCCCGACATCTAACAACCGAGTTGCATACTCCACAGACTTCCCAAGCATGCTTTTCGGGAAACCAGGAATCTCTAGCTCATGTGCACCTTGGTGGTGAGTTGCTTGCATGACTGCCTGCTTTCTGCTGCCGAACTCTACAAGTGATTCAACCTCAAAATCATCCAAGGTGTAGTGGTAGGTGCACAATGCAGCTGTGAAATCTTGAATGTAGATCCTCTCAGGCCGTGTGAGCGAACGATTCATGGGCGTAAACCGCAGATCGGCCATGGTCAGGAGCACACGATGTGGCATGCTGGCATTGACCACTTGTTCTTCCGTGTAATTGGTAGTCATATCGTGCAAACGGCTGTATTCGACGCCGTTGTTGCACGTATAATCCTGCATAACGCCTTGGAAGTTTTGAGTCGCGTTTTCCTGGACATAGTGGTTCGAGTCGGGGCCGGCTGCGACAATAGCGCTACTGATGTTGCACTCTGGGGTGGCGACATCGATGGTCCAGAACATGCCGTTGATACTGTACCATGGAAGCATGACTTGAGTCGCATTCTGAATGGGTAGTAGATCGCATTCAAACCCAACCTTGGCCCCTCGGGTGACGACCGAGTAGTTTGCCTGGGCCGGGGAGTCAGGTAGACCGATCTTGGGAACCACCGTGTCGGCGGAGGTGCCCATGGGATAGGGAAGGCCCTGAAAGTTTATGGCGTAATATAGTTGTGCAGCCGCTGGGCCTAGCTGAGGGATCTGATAGCCCTGCGCGTCGAACGTTGATTGAATAGGAATCGTAACACCCTCTCGAACAATCACCGTTGGCTCAAGTACCAGAAGGCCGGTGGAAAAGACGGTCTGGGAGCTGTCAGTGGCAGTATGAAACGGATGCTTCAGGACACGAACAGTGAGCAAAATCAGAAGCCAGCATGAGATAGTGCTAACGACTACAAAATGTCCATTTCTGAGAGCTCTCCATAAGCTTGTCGGAACCAATGAAGAAACATAGTCCAACGAGAGACTCTTATCAGGGGACGCAGGACCGGACTTGAGCTCTTGCCAGGGTATTAGGACCTTGGCTGCGTGGTCAACCTGCCGCCAGAGAGCGGCGACAATCACAAGCACTGTGGAATCAGTTTTCTACTTATTCGCAGCGGGTGGACAAAACTCACGTGCTGTAGGTCCGTACTTCCATCCGAGGTGGTTTGCTTGCTTTTGCATACTGAGCCCGTTATTCTCCAGAGAAAAGTGATACAGCAAAGCTATAGCGAGGCTCATGCAGCAACATCCGAGGGAAAAGCCGAGCAGTACAATACGCCGAAGCCATAACGAATTCCACATGAGCGGCTGCCTGGTATCGCTAGAATGCATAGAGAAATAGCTGCCATGGCTGATGCTAGGTCTTTGGGATATCTTGGCGTCGCTTTGAATGTGATGAGTGACACATCGTTTCACCGTGTTGCGGACTAGTCGTGGTGACAGAGCGTACCGGGGCACCTCATTTGCATGCCCTGTTAGTGGTGGCGCCCGAAGACTAGGCTGTTCTTCAAGATGACGTCCCGAGCCGCCTGATATGAGCCACTCGGTTACATCTTGGATCGAAGCCGCGAGGACTGTCTCTTCATCGGCTTGAACTACGTATCATTAGTTGATAGATGGTTGCGGCGTTGCGTCGAAAGCTTACCCGCTTCATACTGGTTGGAGCCGACCGGTTTCCGGTGGATGCGGCCAGGTGGGACGGGCACCCCGCCGCCGGACAACACGGAGTTTCGCCGCATACTGAGCACGGTGAACGGAAGCGGCCGCTGGTCGTCCGTGATTTTCACAAAAAGAGTCTTCTGACATCTTCGAAATCGCAACAAGGGGCAGTCCTGCCTTAAGGATCGCTCTGGAGACTGACGATGTTCCGAAAATAGTCTCGCAGGATCCAGGCCCCTGTCAGGTGAGGCGAAGCTGTCATTGTCCAGTTGCAGGCATTGGTACTAGATCGAGTATGGTGCGAACGACACCAAAAGATCTCCATGACCTTTTGTCGAGGCCCAGTATGGTCAGGTTCATGGCGAAAGGGCATCAGGCAAAAGGATTGTGACGATGCAGGATTCCTGCACATTTGGGCACAGCATCGTGCCTCGTGGTTCTGTCAGCAAGACCAGAGTCGATCCCGTTCATGTTCTTAAGCGAACAGACATGCTAGAGAAGCATCATAGGCAGTCAGTGCGTGCTGACACATTGCGAGGAAGAGCGATTTGAGGGAGGTGCAAGCTGTAGAAAGCTTCTAGACCCCACGCCGTTGGATCAAGGTCCACTCCAGCATTAGGGGGGGGGGGCTGATCGCGTGCCAATGTCTCGACGCTAGACCTGGGCTGACGGTGACAGGGTGGCCGACATGGCGGCAGTTCGAAGGCGGGCGGCAACGTCGTTGGTAGGCCATTGTCGAGAGTTCGGAAGAACCTGCACTGGAGGGAGGCCGACAGATTAGCGCTTTCAGAAACGGTTGTGCGCAACAAGGTGCCGAGGCAAGACAATGGCTAGTGATCCGGCGACATGGAAGCACGTCGACGCTGGAATGCGCGGCGATGGAATGTCGCCCTATTGTCCACGCTACCGGTTGCGGGGGGGCACAGTGAGGCCTGACATTGCCTCATTGCCGTCCCGCTCCGCCAGCCTTGTGCCTTTTTGGGCAGTTCTAGGTCGTAGTTACGCCTGCCTGCAACATGGAAAGGGACGAGGGAAGCTGCACCTGGTCTCCTCGCTCTGGTCTTGCAGCTGAGAGGCGCCCGTAGGAACAGCAGGAGCACTCAACCATTGGCTCCGCGTTTGAGCGCCTTCCTCCCGCGCCATGGGTCGCTAAGGGAAGGGACAAACGGTGCCGGCCAATCGCACCCGTCAGCGCGCACAGAGGCTCCTGGTCTCAAACTCGACTCCTGGTTTTCCTTGTTTCGTCTTTTTGCCTCTTTCCGTGAGCTGTAATCAAGTCAGATCCTCGTCCGCTACTCCGTGACGCAGGGCAAACAACCCCAGAGATCAGCTACCAGGAGCCCTGTTTGGCCCATCAGGGGGTTAGCTGCAGGAGTCGAAACAATTGCAGAGGGCGCCGGATCATTCGTTCGCCCCCCCTTCCGCCCCCCTCACCCCCCTGATCCCCTGAACATGAAGAAGCAGCCAGCCATCGTTTCGTTTGGCTGGAGGAGAAGCTACAAGACGCCTGACGAGCGACAGCAAGCGCTGCAACCCATGGCCAATGCCTGGGCTGGACTCCGTGCCACAATAGGCCATGTGGAATGTCAACCGATGGCAAGGGGACGGGTCAACATGTGGGAAGGGTGCTGGTTTCAGTGGGCGCTGCCTGTTCGCTGACGATGGCCATTAAAGCCTACATTCCTGACGGTGGCCCCCATCCTCTTCTCGACCGCTTAGAGCTTTCACGAGGCTTCTTCTTTTCCATATCTAGCCGCCCTTTATTGACCATCGCAATTCTTCTGGTCCCCGAAGTCTGTCTCCTGTACCTCACTTTCGTCTGCCTCGCTCGACGAATTTCGACCTCCGTCTGAACATTGACCTCGATACCAAACACTCCACCAGTTATCATCCGAGCTGCTCGTCTAGGCACCGTCACATACAAGGTTGTGAAACTGACCGACCAAGCTTCGACCACCTGGGCTACTGGCGATTTCTTCTACGCTGCTTTATCGAGTCTGGGATACCTTTCCCTCCCTCCCTCACGAACTCAATCAGGATATATGATCGTCCCTTGAGAGCTAGCATCCCTTGCACTCCCTGCGGATCTTCTCTTGTCATCGTCATACCCCCAGGAACGGCGACCCTTTATCTTGACGATACCTCCGTGTTTGCTCAACCGAGTCCTGCCACGCCTTCGTCTCTCAGACAGTCCAATTTCCCGACCTAAATCGTACTCAATATCGATCTTGCAAGGCTTTCAATCTGGTTCGCGTCGCCGCAGCATCATCCTCGACCGCAGCCTTAGCTGCAGCCTTTACTCATCCCTCTATACTCCTAACTGGGCACACACGGGCCACCGTTCGTCCACAGCGGATCACTTCGTCATTGCCGTCCCTCCTGACACGCGAAGCGTCTCAGTTCTTGCCTTGTTCGAGACTGCAGTGCGAGCTGCGCCTGGCCAAGAACGCGAGACCCCGTCATCCCGCGATTCGGTATACTCGCCGCTAGGCGCCAGTCCCGTGGGATATAACCTGTCTGCTCCACGTCGTCGCCTCAACCACAGCTTCAAGCACCACCAAATTCCGCTTCATACCAAAGGTCACTCATCATGACCTGTCCGCGAACATCACGATTCGCCGCCCTGGTACTTCTCATGGCCAGCATTGCGTCAGCCCAGATGTCTTTGACAAGTTTCGACCCACTGTCGACGACGCAAAATATACCAATCGCCTGCAGACTTGCTTACACAGCACCGATCGGAGGATGCCGGAGGTCCGACTTTTTCCAGGGCGCTCTCTGCTCTGCAGAATGCAAAGCGGGTATCGAGGCAATGCAGGCAGATATCCAAAGCGAGTGTGGTGGCGTCTTTGCGCCGATCGACACATTGTTAGCGCAGGCTCTGCTGGGTAACCTTCCGGCTCTCTTGTGTCCCAATGGCGGCGGCACTACAGTATCGAGCACATCTTCAACCAGGAGGGTGTTACCGACGTCAACGACGCGATCACTCGTTCCCATCATCACAACACCATCTCTCGTGCCCACTCCATCGCCCCCTGTGGGAGACGGTGTCTAGCTTTATTCTGCCGCCAGCTGAGCCCTCCACAACCACTTCGCCGCTCGTATTCACCACGAGCACAACACCCAGCCAAGCACTTATTCCAACGCCAACCCCTTCACAGAGTGTTGGCAGTGGTAACAACAATAATAATAACAACAACAACAACAATGGTCAGCCCTCAGCGCGACCCGAGAACGACAATACAAAGACAAGTCCTGGTGGCGATTTGCTCAGCTTGGAGCCGAGCTCTTCTACGTCTCTGACAATACGTTGGACGCAGGCTGTAGCAATCGCAGTTGGGGTCATGTCCTTGCATCTGTTGTAAGACGAAGGGTGAGAAAGCACACACGTCTCTAGTAATGTTTACTGTGTCTTGGCAACATATCAAGACTGAGATACGATGAAGGATGGGAGATCCGGATGACGAATAGATCATGAACAGAGCGGTGGTTGGCGACGCGTAGAAATAGCGGGTGGGAGGCTTGATTTTAGATGTACTTGTAGTCGATACCCTGCCGGATTGTGAAGCTGGATAGCAAATCTTGACGAAATACCCATGACCAACAAACGCCTCACCTGTGATGCTCTGGCTTCCACATGGCCTCCCTCAACTGCGCCTGGATCGCCTCTCCGCCAAAGATGCTCGGGATGGGCTGCAGCGCCAGTTCGCAGACCTGGGCATTCGAAAGGTTGAAGTGCTCTGCAGCGAGCCTGTACTCGTTTGAGAGGGGGCTGCCAAACACACCGACATCGTCCGTCTGTTGTCCTGGTCAGTACTGCTTTACCTCAATATTCGGACCAGAACTCTGACTTACGCCGAGCGAAACATGACACCCCTCGGTGCCCCACCACTCTCCAAAATGATGGGCCCCGAAGCCGCCCTCGACCATCTTGGCCTGCACATTACAGCTCAGACACAGCTCCAGCCCGATGCCCCCCTCGCGGCCCCGCCTCTTCACAGCCTCCTTGACAGCAGGACTCAGACAGATGACGTGCCCGAGCCGATCCGGCTGCCACCCAAGGAGCACCCCGAGCTCCTCCTCCGTCCCCGACACCTCGGCCTCGGCAAAGTGCACCGTCACGCCAAACCCCTGGGTCTTGGCCGCGCGGAACACGTCGGTGAAGACAGCGACGGAGCCGCGCGGGTCAGACGGCGTGCGCTTGGCAGGATCGCCACAGAGGTCGACGCCGACGATCATGTCGCTCTCGCGACGCAGGAGGTCGGCGATGCGCAGCACCTCGTGCGCCTCGGGCAGTGCGTCGCGGCGGTCGATGCTGAGGATGAGGCGTGTGCACATGCGCATGCGCGGGGCGCTGCTGCCTGGCGCTGGGCTCGCCGTCTGGTCGGCTTCCCATGCCTGGATGGCGGCCACGACGGTGCGGACGTAGACTTCCTTTGTCATCTCGGTCGTGCGGCGCGGCGTGGTGCGGAGCTCGAGGTAGAGGACGCCATCTGCGGCAAAGTCGTCGAGGACGGAGCGTGTGGCGCGCGTCAGGGATGCGGCGTCGGGGAGGAGGCCGTAGATGTACGAGGAGAAGAGGGGAAAGAAGCTGTGCGCGCGTGAGCGCTGGGTGCTTTGCTTGGGCCAACTGGCTGCTGGGGCCGAAGGAAAAGGCGAAAATGAACATGGGCATGAGTAGAGGGGGCTCACGTCTCGAGGTTATAGTCATGTTTCCCGGCAGGCATCACGATCGAGGGGTCGTCGAGGGTTGTGGTGCCGGCGGCGTGCTTGGTGGCCCAGATGTCGTGGAGAGTCTGGCGGGAGACACTGCCAGTGAGGTGAGCGTGGAGCTGGGCCGTTAGTCTTCATTTGACGCGAGATGGAAGTATCGTGATTTTCGTGCGGCGTCATAAACAGTGAGCCTGGTAGTCGGAGACTGTAGACGTCGCTGCCATGAGGTGAGGCTCAACTGAGGAAAACACACCTCGATCTTGGGGAGGGCCTTGAAGTCCATGGCGGTATCTGGCTCTCTTTCAAACGAAGTCGCCTTTTACGAGAAGGGAATATCGTGTGTGAAAGTACTGTATTGTGGTACGAGGTGGTGCTTCTATGAAGCGAGCGCCGTGGGTTTTGCAGCATGAGAGATTTGGGCACCTCGGCGGGCTCCGCTCTGCGCGAAGGGCGTCGCTCCGGCATCAACCGCGACAGCGATATCACATAGAGTTTCCATGTCACGGCGACCAGCCACCAATTTGTCAATGTCATCAATTGGTAGCCATCTCTGTGACTCCATATTCTAGTATCACAAGTACAGGGGAACCGTAGTTCCGTGAGCTGAGAGCATCCCCATGCCATCATCGCCCTTCCTCCTCGCAAGGACCCGCGGCCCCTTTGCTAATCCTCCCCTCAAAAAATAATACACGAACGCAACAGCCCGTCCCTTGACTATGCGCGTTCCTTCCCGTGCGTTCTTCCGTCGCTTGCCTCGCAAATTCAGTCGACCGTGAATTTCCCGAGGGCACTTCCCGATTGCTTCCCGATCGTCGCAGGCTGGGGCGCGTAATGTACAAGAACAGCCAAAAAAAATCGTGTCCACTTTTCTTCCCCCCAACTCGTCCGTCTGTCCGTCCTTCGATTAGATGCGAGAGGTGAATACGTTTACAGCGACGGGCGGGCTTCGGCCTTGCCAGCGCCTAGGGACTCGCCCAGCATGTCGGCGGTGCTGCCTTCCTGGCCCTCGCCGGCGGTGAGCAGCTCGCCGCCCATCTCACGCATACGGTACTCGCGCTCCATGCCCTCAATCTGCTGGTCTTCGGCCCAGCACGTAGCGAGGGGGACACCGATCATGAGCGCCGTGGCGCAGACAAGCCAGAGGGTGCGCGAGCCGTAGTACCACGTGTTCTGACGATGCTCGCGCCCGTGTTGACCTGGGAGCCGATCCAGCCGCGGGTTGTCGGCGGGATGATGTCCTTCAGGGCGGCGAGGCGCTCGGGGAGGGTCTCTTCGGAGGGATCAAAGTCGCTGTCGGCGGAAATTTCAGAGTCTGGGAAAAGGGATACGTGGTTAGTGATGAGAAAGGATGATAGGGGCGATGGCCGAAGCATCAGACGTCACGTCATCGAGCGCTGGCATCGACGAGCTTCGTTGAAGCTCAATGAAGCTCGTCGAGATGCCGCTCGATGGTTTCCGATGGGGCCATGCATGACAGAACGTACCAGTGTCGGTGAAGTCGGCATCGTCGTCCTGGATGACGTTGGGGTTGCCCTGGAAGTGCTCGTCCTCGACCTCAACAAGCTGGACCATTTTGGCGGTGTAGGGGTTGTGTCTGTGGATTTGGGGAAGGAGGTCGCTGGCAACTTCAGTCTTGCTAAGACGCGGATAGGGGTGGAGTCCGAAGAGGCGGGTGTAGATGGTGGTATCGTGATGTCGGAACTTGTTCTTCCAAGCAAGGAGGCAGGCCGCGTCGAAGATGATAGACTCGGGCTGTGGATCCATCATGGCTCAAAATTTTGGTCTGCTAGCGTTAGAAGAGCCTGGTCCGTGCGTGTCGACGGAAAAACGAATCCCCGTGATGTATGTGCACGGGCCTTTTGATTGTGAGAAATGGCACAGTGGCAGACCCGCTTTTCGTGCCTGTTCTTTCCTTCCTCATTCAGCCTACACACCATTCACCTTTCACAAGCAACTGAACGCAGGCAGGCAACATAACAGTGACCACAATGTCCAACCGTGATAAACATGGAACGAAGCAATTCATTATCAATTAACTTGCTTGTGAATCACCAATTTCTCCACGGATCAATATGACAATCACCATCTAATCCCTCTTTGCTGACCCAAACCTGGGCAGGCAGAACCAGAGCCCCAGCAGCACCACCAACATGGCCAGGACAATCGGCTGCAACACCTGGACGCCCTTGGCCTGCGCACATCGTCCCAGCTCGAATGTAATCCAACAAGAAGCTTTGACCGTTTTCGGAAAAGAGGAGCGCCGCTGTGGCCCCAGTACGTCCAGCAGTCATGCTTGAGGGCTCCAATCTTCTCATTGTCCTGGGGATCCTGGCCTTCCGCGCACCCCCTGAAGCGACCTTCGCTCATCACCAGTACATCGTACCCTGTGGCCACGCCTGGCTGGTCAGACTCGAGATCCTCGCTCCCTGGATGGCCGACACAGACCAGAACATCGTTCAGCGGAGGAGAGGATGTGTCGGGCAGCGCACATGGAAAATCGCAACGGCGCTGGCTGGATGACTTTGGACCTCCCGAGACTTGAGGGCCTGGCATACCCTGTGCGGCTACTACCTTCAGCAAGGCAAGGTCTCGACGGCCGTCCCAAGCAACGCACTTTGCCTCAACAATCTGGCCCGATTCGAATACCAGCCAGTGACTGCTCTCGAGATCCAACTCATCCTCTACCTCAGCGACGCAATGGGCGCACGTCATGAGAATACCCGAAGAGTCGACGCATATGGCGGTTCCAGCTTCCTCCTGGCCAAAGACAAGCGTTGCATCGGCGCGCAGCCCTCTTGCAATAGCACCTGCTACACCAGATGCACTATATTGGCGGAGCCAAAGGTGCTTCTTCAGGAGGATCCCGTGGCCCACACTACTGAGTCGAGTGACGTTGGCGCTCAACTTCTCTGGCAAAAGTTTGATGGTGTCATGAATGACTAGACTCGCATTGGGTCGATTCGTTACAGCGGGCGTGATGGCCGATGCCGCACTCGATTCTTGACCTTGTGGAGTACCCCGTCTCGATTGCGATCGCGTCTTGCGAGGCGAAAAGGGTCGGACTTTGGAGTTCATATTGATGAATGACGGTGGATGTTGGGGATGCTGAGAGGAACGACACACATCAGGAGGAGCCCCCTTATATCTCGACGACCTTTGTGGGGGCTGGCTGCCTGGACACTGTCCAATCATTGTCATCTGACGCCTCTGTCTAGGAGTTCTGGCCAAGGAGCGAATGACCACGGCCACGTCAGGCTCGTCGTTCCCGGTTTCCTCGCCACGAACCGCCAGAGTGAATCGTCAACAGTACGAGTCCAGACCCGGCGAGCACCATGGAAGATGAAATAGTAGCCGTCCATCCAATGCCGATTGCGTCAATCATGGGGATGCAGCTTGCAGTCGCAGCAGCCGAGAGAGCATACCGGACAAAGTAATGACTGGCTAGGAGTTATCAGCGATGACTGGATCGGTATGGATGAGGAGAGGCCCACGCCTTACCTGACGCCTTGCCGCTATTTTGCTGCATAACATCCATGATATAGGTATTGAGGCTTGGGAAAGCACTCGTCTGGCTGATGCCTTGGACGAACATACACACTACTGGCAAGCCGATGCCTCCAAAACCGCGATCGACCGTCCAGCCGTAGAGCAATGTCGAACCAGGCAGAGAAAGGCCAAGCAAGATGACGCTTCCACGGAGTCTATCCTCCCAGAGGCGGAAGCCACGACGTTTCATCCAGAAATTTACGGTACGATCGGAGAGGCGGCCGCCGATGAGGCTACCAAGGAGGTAGCCCCCGCCTGGTGCGAGATAGAGCAGGCCAGATTGCAGAGGCGTGGTCAGACCCAGCCTAGGGTTTAAGATGTAACGGATTGGCGTCAAAAGGGAATACATATTGAACGCCATGGATGCCGAAGCAAGGCTCTGTAAAATCGTGAGCCAGACTACAACTTTTGTTTGGCGGGGTTTCTTATCACTCACCACGCAGAACAAGTTCTTCTCGCTCAGCAGTCGGAAAACGAGGATTGGGTTCAACGACTTCCACAATGTCTTGGCGGCAGCATGCACTCCCTGACCTCGCAGTTCTCTGTGCCGTGGAGTCGTTTGCAATGTTTCTTTCATGATGAAGAAGCAGAGGAGGGACGCTAGACCGCTCAGGGACGCCTGTACCCAGAAGATGATTCTCCAGGACGTGTAGGTGACGATGATGCCGGAAATGATCGGACCAAAGGCCAGACCAAAAACCGTGCCTCGAAGGAACCAACCCATGGCAGTCGCGCGCTCGATCTGAAGGGGGTGTTAGCGCTGAGAGCCCAAAATGGGACAGCGGGTAGCTGACAGGGTGGTAAATGTCCGAAATGCAGCTTGAACCTAAGATGAGGAATGTGCTGACTTGAACGGCAGTCAACGCTCGAAAGAAAAAGAAAGGAACCAGGGTCGGCGAAAGCGCTGTGCCAATGGATGCCAGAAGGAACATTGTCGTGCTCATGGTGTAGACCTGGCGAACACATCCATGTCAGCCAACACACCTGCACTCATGCAATCGATGATTTCTCACCGGTTTGCGGCCGAACGTGTCAGCCAAAGGGCCCCAAAAGCAGCTGGACAGCCCGATGACGACAAGGTACAGGGCGTTGCTAATGTTGATAACAGTTGGTGTCGTGTCGAAAGTTTCCATGATTTCCGGCACGGCGGAGAGAATACTGGTCGTGGACATGGAAGCCAGCAGTCCGCAGAAGGCAACGAACCACGCAACCGACTGTTTCTGGATGTCGCTGAACCGGGAGTAGGCCGTCGCCACGAGCCGCTGGCCATCCTCAACCTGTCCTGGAGGCGTTTGCGGGGTGCTGCCGTTGTGCTCTGGCTGTCGAAAGGTAGAAAGCTCACAAGACTGCGCCGCCGGGGCGAGAACTGTGGTTGTCGACATGTCGGGTTCAGTTCTGCCACTGAAGATTGTTGGGTGAAGTAACCTTGGATCGTGCGTTGATTTTCGCAGGAGTCATCGATATTGTACTCCGACCAGAAACCAGACGGCGCTCGGCATTTCGTCTTTGTTGCCGATGATGGCGCCGAAAGCCGGCGGTAGAAGACATTTTCAGCCGGCGGCCGGTGGTTCCAAGTGTTGGTCGGTACATTCACCTGGTGCCAGATGATTTGGCCATGGTCGTCAATCTGGCAGTGGGTAGGGCCACAGGCATACTAAGTGCTTGTTGAACGCTCTGATGACCAAAGGTTCCAGCTACTTTGAGCGAAGTTTTCGCGAAGGCTATCATCAGGCTCCTTCAATCGCCAGTCGGGGGCACATGTAAGTCCTGCGATGTGCTTGCTGCAGCGCGCGCCGCCGACGGTGAAGACAACGATTGTGGATCACTCGGCCTCATGCGGCTACGCCAGAACTCGTTCAGGGGTTCACACGCTGCGGGGGACCATCTCTTTAACGGATTTCAGGGTCGCCGAGGGCTGCTAGGCTGGTCGCGCAGGTCACATGGCGGCATCTCAGTCACAAATATTTGTCGGTCATGGATTGAGCCCTGAGATGTGACATGGGATGCCTGAATAACTAAGGCAGATTAGTTGCTACTTGGTCTTGTTCTGTGTAAGGAATTTTTGCAGGAATTTTGACATGTTAAAAGGGGTTGAAGGTTCAGCCTGCCAATGCGACACGGAGCCCTGCGGTGCGGCAAACGATATTCAAATCAACGACACTCAAACATGGCGAACCCCGTGCGGCTGCTCAAGCAGGTTTTCGATGTGGGGTGGCGCAACAGATCTCTGCAGAGATCAGGGTTTCGTGACCATTCATAGTTCAACGTGTGCTGAGGAACGACAGCATCAATGGAAACCCTAAGGATTGTAATTCTCGACAGCGTGAGAGCTAAGACTAAAATACCCGAGTTGAGGTTTGTGATCAAACTCGAATGCTCAGTGACGAAGGGGTCAGTAAGAACATGGAGGAAGCTCGCTCTACTACGGCAGATTCTCAAGCGGTATGCAGCCGCGCTGGATATTCGAAGCGGCAGGCGAAAAACAGGAATGAACGATCACGTTGTTGACTAGGAGTAGGACTTTGTATCGGGCATGCCTATCCAGCAGAATCAGCGCGGAGAATCAATCGAGCCTTGCCTTTCTTCTTTTGCTCTTTTTCACTTGATCCTCACATTCGAGTTGGAATGATTGGTCTTGTTTCACCTAGCGGCATGTCATTGTCTTCAACTTGAAGCATGATCATGTTCCTAAGCTAGAAAGTTTTGGGTCTGTATTTGGATGCAGGATTACAGGATGGGATGATCAATGGTGATGAGGTAGCCAGTGACTACATGAGTGGGTGTCGTGCAAGAAGCGTAATATGCTGTATCCAGTTGTGAATGGTTGCCTCCGAGAGTCAACATCCTCAAGGTATGGGCTATGTTAAGCTTCAAGTTGATGTGTGTTGCATTGATGCTTGGATCGATAGCATTTTTTGAAATTGTACCTGAATCGTAACACGTCTGCACTCTGACAAAATTTCAAGTACGCCGGAACAATGGTTCTGGGACTTTCAGCGCACTGCAAACACCTGACATCGGATTTCGGAAAGCAAGATTGAACTTTAAGCAACGTCAGGCGCTTTGCCATCGTGCATGACCCACACAAAGTGCCCAGCTCAGGAGAACAGGGCCAACGAAGGCACGAGTAGAGCTTGCACATTCACTCGCAAGGGGTTTCGAGGCCAGGACTCTGCGGGAAGCAGTTGATCAGCCGACCTCATCACAAAAGAGCCGCAGCTAGGATCCTGGCGTCGTCCGTTTCCTAAACCTTCCCCGTTACCACTCACTGTTAAAGAAGCCCAGCAGAAGCTGTAATCTTCGGTTGACTCACGACCGACATAGCACACACACGCACAGAATGCAGGCAATCATCTGATCTTCGTGGGCGTGTGTGCCGACGGCAACCAGACTTACATGAAGTGGTGGGCACTGTTGGCTCGTCGCATACTTACTTACCCTATCTTATTTTACCCTATGTAGCTAGTTTGATGAAGGTAAGTCTGATCATGCCTCATCCCTGTCATCGGTCGAAAGTCCGCATGATCACACAATCAGCTTACCGAGACAAGTAGGTACTGTATTTCGTCGTGAACCTAAACCGCACTGCCGACGTCGGCGAACAGCTCGGATATAGCTAGCCCGGGGCTCGTCAACGCCTCGTGTGGCCCCTGGAGCAGGGACCCTCGCAGGGCCAAGACTTGACGACCTGTGTGGCGGGAGTCGGACAAGTAACTATTCCTTCTGGACCAGAGCTAGCCGGAGGCTAATTGAATGAGTCGGCTCACATTATCTAACGGCCTCAGCGCTTACCTTGCATGGGTCAGGGTAGTCTGGGGTAGCACCGCACATGGCGCTCCACTTAGCACTGAAAGAGTTGATCTGATAAGATCGCATCAGTTCGGTTTCTCCGTCTCGTATCATGGCTGGGTGCGCGGGTCTCCGTCTGCAAGTCCAGCTGCATGGCTAGCTGCAAGGCACGACAGGCCCCCTTGTTTCCCGAAATCCCGCAGCATCGTGAAGTGTGCTCGCTCTCATCGGCCCACGGGTCGCTCGGCTGCATTCTGGTCTCGGCGATCCGACGATGCTGTCGGTGAGGGACAGACCATTCATATGTATAAATAGAGCCCATGAGAAAAATGGAAATGAAGAGAGTAGCCTGTCTTTCAAGCCTATTTCGTATTGCCTAGCGAACCTTCGGAAGCCCGTTCACTGGTGCCCCCGTATTCCGCGGCACACAGGCTCACCCAGACCACCAGCTGCTGCTCAGTCAAGTCATGGCTCGCTGGCGCACCGCCATCCGGGCGGCCTTGTTCGCCGCCGCCGCCTACCCTTCCTCTGCACAGGACACGGGCTTCGTCAACGGCAGAAAAGCTCTCTCCACTGAAGATAGCGGCGTCGTTCCTGGCCGTTACATTATCGAGCTCCAGCCAGGCGGCCAAGGTCGCCGTGCTCGCACCCGTGACGAGTCTGGGGTCGAAGCCGTTGTGCAAGACATCAACTCACTTGGCTATGAAGCCACTGTCAAGGAAGACTTCTCCGGCCTCTCGAGCCGTTTCGATGGTGGCACGGTTGAGGTCTCTCTCGAGAATGACACCACAATCATCGACGACATCAAGAACATCCCCGGCGTCGCCAACGTCTGGCCTGTGCACCACATCTCTCTCAACGTCTCCTTTGAGACGACGAGTGGCTCTCCTGAGTGGAATCCTCACACCTTTACCCACGCAAAGGAGGTGCACGATCGCGACTTCACTGGCGCTGGGCAGCGAGTCTGTATCATCGACAGCGGCATCGACGTCAATCATCCAGCACTCAAGGACCGCATCGCTGGCGGTAAGAACCTCTTCGACGGTTCCGATAGTCTCGAGGACTGTACTGGTCACGGCACCTTTGTCTCCTCGGTCATCGTCGCCAACAACAAAGATTTTCACGGCGTCGCCCCTGGGGCCGAGGTATACATGTACAAGATCTTTGGATGCGACACCGGTACGAGCACCGACCTTGTTCTCAAGGGTCTGCTCGCGGCCGATGCCGACAATTGCGACATTATCTCCATGTCAGTGGGCAGTAACACCGGCTACCGTTATGCTGTGACGGCACGCGTCGCCAGCGAGGTGGCTCAAGACAGACTCGTCATCATCGCTGCTGGCAACGACGGCCAGATGGGCCCTTACTTTGCCAGCTCTCCCGCTGTTGGTCAAGGTGTTGTGTCAGTCGGCTCAGTCGAGGCTGACCAAACACTGGCCTGGCCTGCCCGCATTGTCTCATCGAGCGGCGAGTCCCTCAACATCTCTTATGTGACGCCCACTGGCTTCAAGTATAACGAGACTCTAGACGTTGAGCTCACGCTCGACATTGGCGACTCGTGTAACATCCAGAGTTTCGCCAACGAAGGAGCCGCTGTTCTCTCCAAGCGCGGTGTCTGCCCGGGCAGCTGGGCTGGACGGGCTGCCAGTAACAGCGGCTACGCCTACGCTCTTGCCTTTGATGCATACAACCAGGGCGTATATTACGACGTCGATTTTGCGGAGAACTTCTGGGGAGACATTAAACTCTTCGCTATCACAGCCGCATCAGTAGGTGACTGGGCGCGCGCCCAGGCCGCCGAGGGCCACACATTCAGATTGGTTATCAACGCTGATGCCGACCCTGTCTCGGGCGATGATGCCGAGATCCCCAGCGCCGGACACGTCTCGGCATTTTCGTCCTGGGGCCCCTCATATGAGAATGACCTGGCTCCTCTAATTTCGGCTCCTGGAGGTTTCGTTTATGGTGCATTCCCTGATGGTAGATTTGCTGTGTCCTCGGGGACATCCTTTTCAACCCCCTACGTCGCCGGCGTGGCCGCGCTCTACTACGCCCACGCAAAGAAGGACAAGGATGAGTTCATTCGCCGCCTCGTTGTAACATCACAGACTCTGCCAGCATACTTTGACTTTGACAAAAAGGTCCTTGCTCAGAATGGACCAGTGGCCCAGCAGGGCGCTGGTCTCATCAACGTTGCCAGTGTTTTCAATCACGAGGTGGTGCTGCTTTCAGAACCGGCGCTGCACCTCAACGATACCGACAACCGTGCTAATACTCACACGATTCGCGTTCAAAACAACGGTAATGAAGAGGTCGTTTTCAACGTCACGCATGTGCCATCTTCGACCGTGTCTTCAAGGAACGTCCTTTGGTACGTGAATGCGTACTACCCTCCCCTTACCGATGCCGCCGTCTCTGTGGATGCTCCCCAACTGGTTACTGTGGCCGCTGGTGCCACACAGGAGTTTGAGGTTACCTTTGCTTCCCCAGATGGTCCCAAGGACAGTGGTGCTTTGTGGTCTGGCAAGATTGTTCTTCAGGGATCCAACGATCAAGCAATCTCGATTCCCTACCTGGGCGTCGAGGCATCGACCTATGAGTGGGGTGCCCTCCATCACGGTCCAGAAGTCTACTATTTTGAACAGAACACTGGCGAGCTATTCCCGGTAGACTATACTGGTGAGCCGTACCGTGCTGCTGAGGGCGAATCGCCTGAGATTTGGTTTGCCTTCCGTTACGGCACGTACGAGTTCTCCGTCGACATTGTCGGAGAGGACTACAAGACGGAGCAGTTTGTCTACCCACCTGTCGCCGCTGTCGGATCGGATGCTTGGTACGGGGCTATCCGCCAGCAGCCAGTTATTGATTGGAGTCCCATGGATTTCCCCATGCGGGAGGTTGTCCGTTTCTCCCAAGGTTCATACGTCACGTTCCGAAGTCTCGCCAACGGCACAGCCATTCCCTCTGGTCGCTACCGTGTCTTGTCGCGTGCTTTGCGTATCTTTGGAGATGCCTCGAACCCTAAGGACTGGCAGCTGTTCCTATCAGACTCCTTTTCTGTCCAGCTTGGTGATGATCCCGTTCCAGGATCTGGCCCGACCACGATAACCCTGGGTACCGCTTCTACCTCTGCAATGCCCTCCTCCCAGGCACCTTCGGCCACCACAACCGATGTGACATCTACAACAGAGGCCGTCGTATCTTCTGCCACTACGAGCGCGCCCTCATCCACCGTCACCGAAGACACGATATCAGTGCCTGGCAGCACGACGACGCTTGACGTGGCTGCCACACCCACCGGACTGGAAGGCGTTGTCTCATCCCTTCGCCTTCAGCGTCATGAAGACCCTTCGCCCATGCTAGCAGATGCTTCAGTCTGGATGGAACTTCACATTCTGATCAATATTCCCCTTCCTGTGCCCGCAGACTCAGTCATCCAGTTTGCCATCCCAGAGGAGATTGTCGATGTGGCCGACGAAGCCTACATCTCCGCCTCGGGAAGCTCTCTCGGTCGGTCAACATTTGACACGGAGACGCGCATCTACAGCTTTCCGGCTGGCGAGTGGGCGACATGGCACAAGAACATGCGCGGCGACTTTTACGTCATGTGCCGTTTCGACCCTGACTTTGCAAGGGCTATGAAACCTGGCACTTATGTCGTCGAGTTCCCCGTTGCGGGTGGTGTCGTCTTGCAGTCGACAATCTACCACACGGCCGTTGACCGGACGGAGGTCTACGAGCGCCTGTCTATGATCCCGTACGAGGCAACGACCCTGTTCTCGGCCGACATCGAGATCCCTGCGTCGCACGGCCCCTGGGACTGGGTGCAACTTGAGACGTCACTGAACACCATTGACGGATTCGTCTGCGACCAGTCAGGCGTCTACGTTGGACACGCTTCGTGCGGCGACCAGCGCATGCGCAACATCACTGACGTGACCGAGGGCTCAATCGACCTGTGCCAGACAAAGAGGTACAGAGCCAAGTACCAAAACACTCTGAAGGGCAACGAGGTCCTTCGCTTCACGGTTGCCGGAATTCAGGGCACCTGGGACGCCTGGACGTTTGAATTTGTATACGCCCTCGACGTGCAGCTGACAAACGGGTCGCTGGTGCTGTATGATTTCAAGGCTGTCAAGTTTGAGAAGAATCCTCGCACGAGGGCTGCCGAATTTGACCACTTTTCGGGGGAGGATGCCCGGCAGGGATGAGCCAGTGGCGATGGTTGGGTGACGCCGTACGTAGATTTGATGCTCCGGATGCGTAAATTTTAATGCCGCGAAGGCGATAAATTTTAACCAAACTTTCTTCCACGCTGATCTGAAATGCCTATATGGTAGTGACGTGAACTTGCAATATCGCCGGACACTTCCAATATAACATCAGTATTGTGGGCGAATTAGTGCCACAAACCGTTAGCTTGCTCGCGCCTCAGCCGTACTTCAGCGCCAGCTGATGAATAGGTAGCTATCCGCGGTTTTCCCATCTCCATCACCAGAACGACCACCTCCGTCGGGGATGCCTCACAAATGACCGCCAAGAGCTACTCAGGGGAGCAGCTGGCTCGATACGCAGCTCGTATTAGTCTGACATCACCCCTCGAGAGCGCCCAAGACCCCGTTGCGCGCCTCACCGAGCTTGTCCATCACCAGCTTGTCCATGTCCCTTTTGAGACGCTGGCTCTCCACTACTCGCCAGACAGACTCATCTCCCTTGGCACCGCTGCTGTCTTCGATAGGATAGTCACCAGGCGGCGCGGGGGCTACTGTCTCGAGAACAACACGTTCTTCGGCCATGTCCTTCGCAGTCTGGGATACTCCGTATACGGCGTCGTGTGCCGTATCACTATGGCGACGCGTGGTGTGCATGACGGCAGTTGGCGGTTAATGTAAGTGAGTTTGGGCATCAGGCGTGCCTGAATAATTCAACGCCTAGAGAGACGGGGTTCCTCTGGAGCGCGAGTCAAGGCAGCCACATCTTCCTATGCAAAGTTCGCCCCCATTACCATGTGACAAGCAGCAGCAGCTGACAGCCCCTGTCCCAGGAGCCACATGGCTAACGTTGTGACTCTCAACAACATAAAGTACCTGGTCGACGTAGGCTACGGCGCAGACGGGCCCATCACCCCACTCGCACTCATTCCCTCCCACATGGTCGTCCAGATTGGCCTACCAGATCAGCAACTGAGGCTCGAGCAAAGAACACTGCCACAGCACGAGGACGCCGGTCAGAAGGTTTAGGTATACTCCCAGCGCCGCGGCGGGCACCTAGACGAGCCCTGGCAAGACGTGTATCATTTCCCCGAGAGCGAGTTCCTCGCCGCCGACTTTGACGTGCTTAACTTTTATAACATGTCGTAAAGCCTTTGGGCTAAGACTGTCGTTGTGCAGAGGTTCGAGCGCGGCGGGGATGGACAGATTGACAAGACGCTGCTGCTGATGCGTCAAGTTGTTCGAGAGTGCGATGGGAAGGGCAAAGAGCAGCATGTCATCGAAAGTCTTCAGAGCGAAGATGAGAGGATTGCCGCCTTTGATTGACTTTTCGGAATCATGCTATCCGAGCAAGAACGTCAGGCTATCGCAGGGAGACCTTCAGAGATTACCGAGCATGGCGCTAAGGTCAAAGTCTCAAAAGTAGCACCCGTTCAGGAACACAGGGACATCGTAGCAAGACTTGATTATTGAAACAAACCAATTGTTATTATCCAATCTGCTAAACTAAATTCACTAAACTAAGATACGCTACCCGAGCAAACTGCATGTGCGAATCCTCTCCGTGGCGTGACCAGCACAGCGTTTTCCCCTTCATCCTTGCGATATTTTGTTTGCAATCTGGTGTTTCCTTTTTACTTCCCATCATAATCATATTTATCGTGTTGCCGTCATCCATTACTCATCCAGTGATGGTCTCAGCGTCGCTGCGAAGGCCATCCGAATCGCTCGTCTCCCCATCTGGTTGACCAGTACCCTGGTTGATGCGCTTTCCATAGTAGCGCTCCGCAGGCCACCCTTGCATCGTGCATCCCTCCTCGACAACGTCACCTCCCATGATGAGGGTATGTTCGAGGAGGCAACTGTCCTTCTTCATCATCGCACCACTCAACAGGCGACTGCCCGTACGAAGGACACACCTGTCATCAATTTGCAGCCTGTTGAGGTCGAACTTGCCCCTCGTGTTGATGTGGGCCACGACACTAGCATCGTCGACAGTTACACGATCGCCAAGTGTGATCAGGTCCGGCTCGGTGAACATGAGACTGGGGTTACCGTTGGCGAACAAGCAGCAGTCCTTGCCAATAGTGGCTCCCAGGGCGCGGAAGTAGAGGACGATCCACTCGGTGCCGGTGAGAAGTCCGAGAATGCCGTGGCCACGGTAGCAGTTGCGGCGAATCTTCTCAATGTTCAGGAAGAGTTGCCAGCGCTGGCAGTAGGGCGACTTGTCCCAATCATAGTTCCCGGGCGTGCGGCGGCCGAGGAGCATCCACTTGGCGGTAATGACAATGCCAAGAGCGAAAATGGCGTGCAGAGTGGTCAGGATCGAGATAGCAATCGTCACCATGCCGTACAGAATGAGAGCATCCTTTGCTGTGCCGTACGAAGGGACGAATTCACGCGTGATGCGATCGACAAGCTGGATGGCGGTGATGCTGGGCACGTTCCAGAAGAAAGCCGTGAAGACGGTGATGAAAGTCGAGTAGCAGAAGATGGCAAAGGGGCCCATGACTCTGTAGGGAGCAAGCTTGAAGTAGAAGGCGCGGCCGAAAGGGGAAGCCTCATCTTGGTTGACGATTGTGTGCTCGCTGTCAGAATCCCTGGCCATGATAGGATGGTCGGACACGTTCGGGGCCTTCTTTGAGGGCGCCTCCCGGGTCTCAATGAGAGTAGCGTCACTCGCAACGCGGTGGATTTGGCTTTGGCGCTTCTCCTTCTTCTCCGACATGTCGGAACCGGAGGAGAGGCAGACGGCGTCACCTCCCTTGGAACCAACGTAGGTACCACCATCAGCGTAGCGGCCACCGCGACGGGTCAAAGCACCGGAGCCCATAACAGTCTTGTGGCCAACTTCAACACCAGGGAGCAAGGTGACGCGATCAGCAATCATGGCACGGTCACGAATGACAATCTTCTCAGATCCATTGCCGTCGGAAGTGATGAGACGCGAACGAGAGCCGAACACGACATCGTCACCAATATCGAGCAGGTGATAGTCGCCGATGCCGGGGCCGGTACCGGGCCAGTAGACACGCTTGCCAATCTTGCCACCAAGCATACGGACTGCTACTGAAGTGGCCTCGTAATGCTGACCGAACATGGCAGTAAGGTCGTGAAGACGGGATCCAGGCATGAGACTGTTCATGAGAGCTCCCCTCCATGTAGTGACGTTGCCACGGCCCTCCACAGGGTTGGGTCCCATCTTGCCGAAGCAGGCATCGAGAACGGTCTTGATGAAAATCGTAAAGCCGAAGAGAATGTAGGGGCTGAACATAGTGCGCAGGACAAGTGCCAGGTAGTGATAGCCGACACGCTCGGGCTGGGTAAACCAGTTGAGGATATCACGTAAAGGCGAGTTGTTGTCCATTGGCTGATTGAGCACCATGCCGACCAGACCGCCAAGCCAAGGAGTCAGTGCCAAGAACCAGGCGATGAGCATGATGGGCATGGTGAAGAAGATCGACATGGCCCAGTGAGGCTTGGGAGCGCGGCTAGCCGTCAGGTCGCGGTACGACTCGTCAGCATCCTGCTGCTCCCAGCTGGAAGAGTTGAGACCAATGCAAGTGTCAGCGGGCACGTAAGAGCCCGGGGCGATGATTGAGGCGACGCCGACAGAGACGTTTTCCCCAATGACGATGCGACCCAGGTACATTGACGTATTACCCTCGGCGGCGAACGGGCGACAGGTGCACTTTCCAAGCGTGGCACCATCGCGAATGTCCAGAAGGTCCCATTCGCCGAGAGATGTGCCGTTGACCTTTACGCCCTTACCGATACGAGCGCCCATCATGCGAAGATACAGACGCTTGGTAGACTCGTTCATGTTGAAGAAACCCTTTCCGCAGATGGACACAGTCTTCTGTACAATCCACCAACGGGTGTGGTAGAGACCCCACATGGGGTAGAGGCCTTCACGGTAACGACCGATGATGACCCACTTGGCGGCAATACCGATGAAGGGTGCGACGGCCCGAACGGCGACCTGGGCGAACATGATGGAGACAGTGAGGTTGAGAAGACGACCGGGAACCGACATGTTGGTTACCCAGCCCTGAGTGTAACTGAGGGCGAGGATAAAGATAGTCCACTGGAAGGCGCGGCGCATGGGATACAAAACCACCAAGGGAAACAACTGGAGCAACATGAGGAACGGATTTGTCGAGCTGTTGGTTTTCACGCAGCCTTCTGTGTTGCTCTCCATCTGGTCCGCGCTGGGTGCCGACTTCAGCAGGTCATCAATGTGTGCAGATAGGGCTTTAGGTGTACCCTGGCTGAAGATCAAGCTGATGGGCAGGCTGACGTTGAAGTCGTTCCTAAGCGCCGACATGAGCTTGCCAGCTCTCAGGGAGTCACCGCCAAGGTCGAAGAAGTCGGCGGTGGGCTCAATATCGGTAGCACTGCAAGCGAGAATCGAGGCGAAGGCTTGAAGAACACGACCTTCAGTTGAACCGCCCAGCTTACCCATTGATTCTTCCTCGAGCTTGTCAAGAATGTCCTGCAGTGCCTCCTCGTCCACATCGCCATTGGGGTCTCGTGGCAAAGGTTCTGCAAGCAGATGCACCTTGTTCGGAACCATATAGTTATGAACAGACAGTGAGATAAAACGCTTCATGTGGCCAGCCCAATCAGGATCAAGCGGTTCAACATGCTTCGCTGTTGCCTTGGGAGCGAGGAAAGCCTCAGTATTTCCTTCGTGAACACGAACATGGGACTGGAAGTCTTTGGGAAGAGCAGATCGGATGACCCCCATGACAGCGCCGCAATCGACCTCACACGGAGCGGAAGCGATCGGGACCTTGAGGTCAGTGTCGGGGGGAGGGCAGACACCAGTCCAATGCCTAGCTAGGTAGGGAGCGTCATCTGTAATCTCCGGGATGTTGAGACGCTCTCCAAGCTTGATGCGAAGGACTTTGTTGTTTTTCTTAGGTAGATCGTCCATGTACGTGATCAGGACGGGCCACTTGACCTGCTGAAGCGAGGAGCGGAGTGCCTCATGAAGTGTCTTGAGGTCAATTCGATGCTTATCTTGAGGCGTTACCAACGCGATGGCAACAACCTCCTGCAAGACGTCGTGGGTGAGGGAGAAGGCAAGAGCCTGTGTAACACGACCTGATATGGGTGAATCGACAGCCCCGGCAGCAGCCATGATGGCATTCTCAACTTCAAAGGGAGAAATGAGCTCTCCTCCACGGTTGATGACCTCTTTGCTGCGACCAGTAATGTAAAGGTAGCCATCGGCGTCGAGGTAACCAAGATCACCGGTATCGAACCAGCCATTTTTGTTGAATGGGGACTTGTCGAGAGATCCATCGGACTTGAGGTAGCCGTGGAAGACCGGCTCGCCACGGACGCAAACGCGACCAACGGCACCAGGACGGACCTTTTCATCGGACCAATCCAGCACGGTCATCTCGGGCCCAGTGGACAGGCCCGATGTGCCAGGGCGGTCCAGCTTGTAATCCAATAGTGGGGTCGAGATCGGCATGCACTCAGTCATTCCATAACTCGGGAGAACAATGCAATCAAACGTGTCTCGAAGTTGAACTGCGAGGGAGGGCAGAAGGCCGCCAGCGGCGTTGCAGGCCAGTCGAATCTTGTTGTTCTTGAGCGCCTTGGGTCTTGAAGGGGCTTCCGCCAGGATGACGGAGTGCATAGAAGGCGAGGCGTAATACCAGGTAGGATTGATGTCTTCGACGACGTCCCAAAAGAGGCTCGGGTCAAACGCAGCGCAGCAGACAGTGGAGCCTCCAGAGAACATGGGAGCGAAGATATTGCGGACCAGTCCGCCTACATGGTACAAGGGCATCATGTTCAGGCAGACATCGTCAGAGGTCAATCCCCACGAGTCCATGACGAAGACAATGCCGGCGACAATGGAGTGGACAGTGAGCGGGACCACCTTCTTGGTGCCAGATGTACCACTGGTGAAGAGGATGAGACTGATGTCGTCAGGATGATTTGGCTTGGGCTGTTTGATCTTCAGGGGCCGGCCCTTGATATCTTGCAGCCGAATGTCATCGCCATTTGATTCGACAAAGGCGATTTCGATGCCATGCTCGCTGACCCAGTCGTCGCTGAGCTGCAGCCTGTCGTAATCATCGGGTGTTGTGAGAATGCATCCAGCGCCAGCCTGGAGAACATCTGCCTGGAACTGCACTGGCCCAGCTGCCGGGTTGATGGGGGACGCGGTATAGTAAGTCGTCGTCGCAATGCAGACCGCCGCCAGCAACGGGCCGTTGGGAAGAGCAATAGCGACAACGGGCTTACTCCTGCCATTCTGAATCTTCACAGGCACAGCAAAGCTATCAACGAAGCTATGAAGGCCGGAGTGTGTTATGAAGTCCTTGGCTTTTGTCGAGCGCAGAGCCGGCTTGGAACCGTGTCCAAGAAACTGCGCGAAAGACTGATAGGATTGCTTGATCAGATCCTCAACTTCTTTGATCAGGCCAGTGGAGTCGCCAGCACTAGTCGCCTTGGCCGACTCGGGCATGAACTTGATGAGGCGAGCATGGCACTGAATGAGGTCAAAAGTGGACCAAGGGCCGGGAAGGTCGAGGAGAATGCGATGGAAGAGTTGAAGGGGTCGATCAGAGGGCGTGAGAGGGGCGGGGATGGAGGCGAGAAGAGTGGCACGATCCAGCGAGCCCTGGCTGGCCTCCTGGGCCAGGTTGCGAAAGACGGAAGAAGTCACGACGGCATCAGGGGCTGAGCTGTACAGCTGTCGCAGCCTGCCCGCAAGCTCCCTGGACTGCGTCTGGCGCATTTCGGTTGGTGTTGGATGTCGTTGTCTCTGTCTCAAGGTTGTGAAGAATGGTCGAGAAGGGTCCGGCCTGGCGGATGGTCTGGACTTTGATACTTCGGGTCTCGGATAGTCGATCTAGACTCTGTCGTGAAAGAGTCTCGGTCTTTGTAGGTTCGACTGGTGAGATATCGGGATGGCCGAGAGTAGGCTGATGTGGTTCGGAACTCTCATGGACGAGACTGATATATAGGTTAGATGCCTACCCACATCAGACGTGGATAAGTCTCTGGGACGGCATTTCTTCCCGGACATCGATGGTTAGGAGATCTCGATGCAAAGGCCTTCATACCAGCTTGGCGATCACTTCGCCTTTCATCGCTATCTGAGATGATCGTCATCACTCAGATGCCTGACGGTGGACAGGGCCAAAAAAAGATCCCTACTCTGCCACGTCCATGGTCCTCGCGAGGGCGACGCGTATAACCGCCGTGGGGGCTTTCCCGTGCGGCCCCACCGATAGCAAGACTCCTTCATGCCGGGAGAAGCTTGGTGTTGCGGCTCTGATTTACCAGGCCACCGGACTGGAACGCTGGGTGCCCGGCTAATTGATGGCACTCTGCCGTGTCTCGGGACTTCCTCTGTGGCGCCTCGATAAGCTTGAGCACAGGCCGCTGCGGTTCGCCAACGGGTAAGTCAAGACATTCCAATACACTGCAGAAATTTATTTGCGAATCAATGTCAATTCGCGATTGATCCGGCGCGATAGTCGTGGCAGGAGCTGGGTTGCGTGCTGGATGGCGTGGTTGCTGTCTAGCAAGGCTGCAGTTCGACCTTGTGTCAAGTCATCGTGCACGCCTGCCCTTGTCACATTACCGAGAGTACCAGAATGCAGGTGACGGAGCCTAGTTTTGGCTTCACCTCAAGGACTGCAATGCACGATGGACTTCATCTTTGAACCATTGTATATATTCAGGCCACTGAGCTACCCGTCCAGAGTTCCTTCAAATAAGGCAAGCTGAGCTCAAATCAACCTTGATCGAGCTGTCAACCAGTAACCTTCAGACTACATCGTTGAAATGGATACTCTGTCCGCTGACTTCCCCAGTCCGCAAGTTCCTTATACACGTTGAAAAGAGTTGTCGGCAGTCAAACCATCAACCCGGAAGACAAGTGCGCTGTAAGTCAAACTGCGACATATGACAAGGAGGCGTTTTTCTCAGGCATTAGAGATGCCAGGTATGGCTTTCGCACGAAGGAGAGAAAATTGAGACGGGCGCTTACAAAACGGTCTGGAATGCAACTTCGGCGGCATGGTGGGTTGTCTTGGTTGAAGATATCACATACAGGACCAACGCCTTGTGGTCTTCATGATTCAGGACACCGGAGATCATCATTCGCATCTTGACGGGAGGCAGGCGTAGGCGATCATTTCGCGAGACTTGGATGCTATTGTGTGATTAGGATAGCCTGTGCGTGCATGCATACGGTTGTCCGAGGGCTGTCGAGAGGGGTGCGAAAAGCCAAGTGAAAATGGCCTCGTTATCTTCGCGTGCGCGCCCGCCTCCCTGATGAGCATCGGTCCCGAGGCTGGCCCGAGCTCTTCACGTCAGATGTCCCGGTGAGAGGATCGTCAAGAGATCGCCCAGGGCTTAGATCCAGCCTTCCCGCTGTATTGATGGGTAGCGATACATTGTAGATCAGCCGCGTTGGGTTGCGCGTCGCGTTTGTTCTTTCGTGCTTGACAAGGGATCGTGATGCTGTGGATCTGCAATATTGTAAGGCTAGTCGTATGTGGCAAGACATCTGTTTCCTCTGTTGGGCGTTTCTTCCGTGCGATTTCGATAAAGCCGGTACCAGCAAACTGGTCGCTCCCGAGAAGTCAACCCCGAGAACCAGACAGCTGGCGCACCTAACTACCAATGGCTGAACTGGACGCTAAGGCTCGTTCAAGCAGGACAGGTATGACACCTCATTTCAGCTGCTTAATCTCGAACTAGGATGTTCGCGAGCTCAAATGGTGGCGTCTGCGATATCATCGATGACGAAAGATTTATTCATGTCTTGGTGAAGGGGGTGTGGTGGTTTCATTCCATCGTGCCAGCCATGGCCTTTGACGTTTCTGCCAGCCATTCTGTTTCTCTCCTCTTTTCTCCCTGTCTTGTCACCAGCATCATTCATCCCATTATCAACCCCGCCCCTTCCCCTGACGGTCTCAGCCTCAGTATTCTGAGGCGGGGTTATGGGCAAGTCATCGGGTGATGACCATCGAGAATTCAGATGCACAGGCCTAATTGTGAGCAGCACATCAAGACAGGACCACATGTCAAAGGTGGCAAATCGAGGCCCCGATGCGTGACGGGATGCTCGACCACATAAGGTCTCACCATTTGGCATTTGAAACAAATCGAACTTCTCTGTGCAGACCCAAAATCTTCATGATATCTTGATAGCTTTCTGATATCTTGTTTGGTGTCTTATGGGAGGGTAGTTCGTAACTATCACACAAGAAAATTTAATTCTGAATGGTATCATCTCCCTAGGTGATCACTTATGCTGAACTGTTTATCCACGAGGACAATGATGCTAAGGGCCCACCCTATCACACGTCATCTTAGGTGGTCTTCGTAGCTTCGGTGGTGAGCTTTGCGTAAAAATATACTCAAGGTGGGTCCGTAACATCCTTTTATCAAGGCGAAGCCATTCTCATACCGTCTGGCTCTAGATCCATGATCTCCACCTGACGCGTACGCCTTGCTGGAGCATCTACAGTGGACTTCTTCTTTCCTGGCGATGTGCAAACGAATTTCGACTCGTATTCGTAGTATTGAGCCCGTAAATCTGACAGCAGCATCACCTACCGAAACATTTCAGCCATGTAGGTTTGAAGTGCTAAATCACGATAAGCTCCAGCCTGTCTCGTGGAACGTGGATATATTTCCATTTCATGATCAGACAAAGCAATGTACGCTATTCTGAATGGATAGCAAGTGACTGTGCGTCTTTGAGCAAAAGTTCAAGTCCCTTATCAACATGATCAACGCGGGCTAGGAGACTCTTCTTTTTCCCAGCAAGATCAGCCGATGCAGCTGCCGCGAGCTCACGCCGTGCCTTGGGAGAAGTGCCCCCACTGCTGATTCTCGACTCAACAAAAGACACCGGATCGAGTATGCTTCTGACATCGGACTCGGACAAGACGTGTCTGAAGGCATCGTCTATGAGCTTGCCACGCAGCTCACCATCTCGGCAACCAGCACGTTCATGCGCCTCAACCAGACGAGCAACACTCTCGTGCGCGTCACGGAAGCTCAGACCACGCAACGAAACGAGGCGGTCCGCCAGTGCGCTCGCCGTCGACCAGTGCTGGCCCGCCGAGATACGCATGGCAGGCACGTCAAATTCGGCCGTCGCCAGGACCTCGCGCAGTAGGGCGATAGCACCAACCGTCTCGATGCACTGTCCCGGGAGCAGATTGTGGACGTACGACTGATCGACATCGGTGGAAGTCGCCGTATGCATGACACCCAGGTGGCTGGCGGCCCAGCCCACTGCGACACCAGCAAGGCCGCGTATACGTTCTAGCACCATCGGGTTACGCTTTTGTGGCATCATGCTCGACGTGCCACAGAGTGCGGCGTCGATGCGCACGAGGTTGACTTCGCTGGAGGACCAGTAGTTGAGGTCCGAGGCAAGACGGCTGATGGTCGACAGTGTACCGGCGAGAACACCTGCGAGCTCGGCACCCATGTCGATGGCCGCGAAGCCGGCATCTCTGGCGTTCAGGATGGGACGGTCGAAACCAAGGTAGGTCGAGGTGCTATCACGATTGATAGGCCAAGAAGTGCCACTGTAGGCTGCGCCGCCTAAGGGGCAAACATTCAAGCGATCGTAAGCATCGTAGAGACGGTCCAAGCTTCGTGACACTGCCCAGTAGTGAGCGTTGAGGTAATGGTCCATTGTTGTTGGTTGAGAGTGCTGCATGTGGGTATACCCGGGCATGAGCACGCCAGTGTGTCGATCCGCCGTTGCTAGAATTTCAGTCGCAAGATCGACGAGTTCTCGGATGACATCTGTCAGGCTCGCTCTGTTTATGAGGCGCCAATTCGTCGCCTTTTGGTCGATGCGGCTGCGACCGCGCTGAATATCGCGGCCGCGAGGGCCAAGCACTTTCTCAAGGTATTTTTCAATTTGCAAACCGAGAGTGCCGACCTCAGGGTCAGGCGCAAGTACAGCATAAGTATCACTGTCGTGAAGCTTGACGAGGGCCTGGACGATGCTAGCACCATGTTGAGCATCAAAGATGCCAGCACGCGTGAGCATCACGGCATGAGCGAGATCCGTCAGTACATACTCCTTGATACTGATCAGTTCATCGTCCAGTTCGAGCTTATTGACGTGCGTGATCAGTAAGCGAGAAGCTTTCGTTCCAAGGCGACTTTCGGTTAGCGAGGCATGGGCCTTCATGTTGTCTGCCGACATGGTCTCTGACTCTTTCTGGACAACCTGATGTAGCGAGATGGCAAGGGGACCTAGGTAGAGGGGTACTGCTGGACAAGCACAAATGAGTGGGAATTTTAAGATTATTCAGTTACCAACCGAAGAAGTGACCATCATTTTATAACAAAAACCTTGGGTTAGAAAAATCAAAGCTACATCAGTGTCATCTGCCAAGGCTCCAGTGGAACCACACCAACTCCATGAAGATCGAATGTTCGGTTCTCATCCCATTCACTCATCGATACACCAACCCAGAGTAGAATCTACTTGTGTAGTCGCCTCTCCTGGGAGGAAGTAACCGAATTGGGAACACTGCATTCATAGTCAGTTTTGTGCGGTATAGCGTCGCGGGGAGTGGCGGCATCAATCGGGGATCGAAAATGACGGTGGGGAAAGGCGGCATTGGGGAGTGGCGGCTAAAGCCCACACCATCTTGTTCAAGAGCATGCATCCCTTTGCACTGTTTCCTTCACAAGCTACCTATTCTCAACTCCCATGGTCCACAATTTCCATGGGCAGGCATCATCACATCATTGTGGCAGCGTGTCCTGCATCATGCTTCTCTAGATGTGCAGCTCGTGATAGGACTCAGATTGCATGAGCTTGTTCATTTTTGGCTGCTGAATTGCATCTTCTCATCTCATATTGATTTCGCATGGATTGACCAATGTGATTTTATTCTGCACGTTCAGCCGTATGGCATCGGACTATCTACGCCGTGACCTGTCATGGATGATTCGGCTAGCTTCTGGAGGACATTGGCATACGTTCTGCAAGACGGAAACTCCCAAGACCAGTGGTCGAACGTCGCTTGAGCTTTGACGATCCCAGCCTCCCATCCGCGAGGCATAGTCAGCCAAGTTGTCTTCGATGCTGCAAGCAGGAGGCTTGCCTCCTTCAATTCATTCCGAAGCTGGAGCCACGTTCCGTGGTGTCGATGGCATATGTGACTGTGCTGAATGTACCGCAGTGCATTCTGAAGTCCTATCTCCGCTAGTGACCGAACGACGGGGCTGCATCCAGGATCGTGGATGGCGTTGAAGAGGAATGGTCGGTGCATGAGTTCAAGTAGACGGTAATAGCGACCGCGGCTGTACTGTTGCCATTCAGTGCTGGCCGCTTCAGGGACGTCGGGAAACTTGACAGCTGATGGAAGATTCTCTCGGAAAGTTTCGGCTTGTTGCTCAAACTCGGCTACGATGGGAATGAGCTGTTGAATCCTTTGCGATCCTGGCAAGATGATGTCGGCATGAATGTACTTGGAGACAATCTCGGTGACTTGGTCTGTGATACGGCGAAGGGCGATTTCAGAGAGCAGAAAGTACCAGCTGTCTTCCTCGTCGGCAGCCCATTCGTTTGAAGCAATGCTGGCGGCTTGTGGGGGCTGAGGGTATACATTTGGCATTCCAGGTTCTCGCAGGGCGGGCGCGTTGATCGGTATCTCGGCTAGGATCTCTCTGTAGAGGTCAGGCTCTAGTGCAATAGAATTTCGTTTCGGACTGACCTCTCGGATTTATAGCATAGCCAAAACAGGCTCGAATACATCTGAGACGCTGCTCCGGCTGGTCGAGCACTGTGAAAGAGGGCCAAGATTAGCGCTAACACAGGAACCCTGAAGGGCGGACCACGCACCTACCCCGTGGAAGAAAGGTTCTGAAGAGAGATTCCCGCGGCGTGAAACATACGCAACGCATGCATTGGCTGGATCGAGTACATGTGGAATATCCTGCGGCGATAATTGTCAGCCACTAGCTCCTCTCATGTGTTGGCCCGTGAAGCTCACCCAGCAAGACACAAGCACTGGATGGAGAGGGTGTTGAGTGTTGATATGGCTGCCCCTAGCCTCTTCTCCGCGGCTGTGAAATAACTGTGACCAAGTCTTAGATTCGCTAGATCTGGCGCTGAGCTTGGGTTGTTTCCGGGGCTTTGGCTTGTGTTGATAGATCCATAATCCATGGAAATGGCACCAAGAGCACACATGAGCAATACCAGACAGGTGTCAAGGTTGAAGAGAAGTCCATTCTCGTGGAATTTTTGACAGTATTCGCTAGCCAGCCGCCTACTCAGAATCGGGTTCTTGATGTTGACTCGTTGATGAAACTGTTCAACGAGTTTCTCGACGTCAACCTTCTCTGTGGAGATGTTGATCGGCGCAGAAGACTTCCAGGGCGGTCCTGATGGTGAATGTGGATCCAAATCTTCTGACTCGGTCAGGTCGTCAAGATAGCTGTAAGCCTCTGTGCCATGAAAGTCGATGTATGGAAACCGCTGTAAAGAAGACAGAAGCTGTTCAAACACTGGCCACTGGAGGATCTGATCAGATACTGATTTGTGGGTTGCGTCGATATTCAAGGACAAAGACGTGTGTACTGCGCTTCGTGTTGAAGCTTCCCTGAACCCGCGCGTTGCTATGAATTGCGCGTCACAATTTGAGCCAGACGACCGAGACTCGCGGGTCAGGGAGGATTCGGGATGTATATCTCTTACCAGTCCCTCTATGAGAGAGAGCTGGTCTAGTATTCTCAGTGATGCCGCGTCGAATGACGATGAGTCTTGTTTGGTGTATTGGCACGGAGCCCCAATTTGTTGACATGACGAACATGTTGGCCTCAGATTATCGCTTCAGACAAGAAATCATCAGCCTCTGAGCAAGAACTGGGAGGTTTTGCGGGCGTACCACTTCCGTTTCCTCTCGCGACATATCAAGCATGCCGCCAATGCTCGCTGCCGAGGATATCCAGTCCTCGGTAGCATGCGCTTCTGACGTCCTCTTGTATTCATCGCGCGGCTGGGGACCAGGAGCTGGCGGCGTGTACAGAACTTACAGGTGATGGCGTGGAGAGAAAAGAGGGGATGAACAATTATGAGAGGATGTAAGGTTAAAGGGTTGCATCGAGCTGATGCATACGGCCTGCAGGATGACCCCCTCTCATAACCCCGCGTCATCCAATCCAAACCGCCAAGGCCAAAAGGCGCGACGAGCTCCCCCACCATCAGCCTTTTCTTGTTCTTGGATCTGCCTTGGTTCGGGGAACATGACTAAACACCCCGGCCGACTACGGAGCCCCCGCATCGATAATATATGTATAAAGAATCAGAAAACACGAGGTGTGTGCCATTGCTTGGCTTGATGTTCATTGAGCGGACGAGTATAGTATATTCAAGACGCCTGCCTCAGGTCGAACAGCCAGCTATCACAACAATAATGACCACAAACAACGAAACAACGGTTGAGATGCCGCGAGGCGAAGCACTCGAGATGCAGACTGACGACGAGGCGGTTGAGCATCTGACCAATGTCACCTCTGTCGAGCCTGCACCTCCCAATGGCGGCTACGCCTGGGTTTGCACACTTTGCGTCTTCCTCGTCAACTCGCATACGTGGGGCATCAACAGTGTACGTCCGCGCCCCCAGTCTCCCATGTTAAATATCGACTCGAAGCTAACTAAGTCCTCAGTCCTGGGCTGTCATCATGG